TATATATATATATATATATATATATACTTTAAAAAACTGGGAAAGGCACTTGTCTGTCTCCATAGACCGTCAGCACCTAGGAGCAGACATTTAAGTCTGCACCAAGTCTCTCAGGTCTTGAGTCCGGCTTTGGCAGCCTCCCTGGTAAGGAAGGACAGCAAGACACTCCTGCTGGCCATGGCGCAGGCTTCCCTCAGAAGCGGACACCTTCCAAGCCGGGTTTGGGCCTCACTTGGCTGCAGCAGCAGCAGCAGCAGATTCACTTGATCTCCAGCCCTCCCTGCCCTGCCCGGGAAGACCTGAGAGCTCACCTCTGTTTGCTCAGATCCTTGGTCCTCAGGAGGCCAGGCTCCTGCCAATTTGTCACGCTAACTGATCTGGGCTGGATATAAAAGATATGGAGTTTTCCTACCGCATTGCTCAGGTTCTGTTGTTTTGGCCACTTTGGAAAACACTGAGGCACAAGAGCCTGAAACGTGCCCCTGGGGATAAAAAGGACTTGGTCTGAGCTTTCATCCTGGCTCCCCTCTGGCTTAACTGCCATCTCTGGGAAAGAGGCACTTTGAAGACAATATTTAATTATAGCATTTTTTTGTTTGTTTTCTTTTAATGTTTCGGAGCAGGTTGTCAGGCTGACTTATATGAAAGCAGAGTCATTAACCTCATGGATAACTCAGTGAAATGCCCAAGGAGACTGAGGCCCAGGTGGCTGCTAGGTGGGCTTGCAAGGTCCCTCTGTGCCTCTGCAGGGACATAGACATGCAGCAGCACTGCCGCCTGCCAGGGGGTGGGCACCAGCTCAAGGCTGCATGACATCCCTCCTGAATGCTTTTCCTGGGGCAACCCACATGAGGGCTTCCAGTTGCTGGGGGCAGTAAGTGGTGGGGGGGCATAGGGAGAGGGCTCTGATCTGGGGCTCTGGAAGGGGTGCATGTCCACCTGGAGGTATGGAGCAGCCCAGCAGCCTGCATTTCCTTCAGCTCTTTGGGCCTCAGTTTCCTTACCTGTGAAATGATCCCCAAGCTCATTTCTAACTCTAGCTTTTCTTTGGTGCTTCTATATTTCCCACACGACTCAGAGGTGTCAGGTGGATGGGCTATGGTTTTGGGGTCCTAGCCACTGCCCTTCTCTCTCTCTCTCTTTTTTTTTTTTGAGATGAAGTCTTACTCTGTAGCCCAGGCTGGAGTGCAGTGGTGCCATCTCGGATCGCCGCAACCTCTGCCTCCCTGGTCCTGGTTCAAGCAATTCTCCTACCTCAACCTCCCAAGGAGCTGGGATTACAGTCACAAGCCACCATGCCCAACTAATTTTTGTATTTTTTAGTAGAGACGGGGTTTCACCATGTTGGCCAGTCTGGTCTTGAACTCCTGACTTCGTGATCCACCCACCTCAGCCTCCCAAAGTGCTGGGATTACAGGCGTGTGCCACCATGCCCAGCCTTTCTCTCTTTTTCAACCATTTCAACTGGTAAAAGCTGCGGTCACCTGCAGGCCACTGGACAAACGTCCCACTATTTCAGGGAAACTGCCTCTCTGGAACTGCAAGGGTTGATCTTGGTAATAAGGAAAGCTGGGGTAGAGCTCCCTGGTTGTCTGACCTGGAAACTGGCCTCTTGCTGTTTACTAAGACTAAACTGATGAGGGGCCCTGGGGACAGTCAGACTGTCTGTGGATCCCAGACATCAGACCATCAAAGTGCAAAGCAGTGGAAAGCGGCAATTTGATTGCTTAAAAAATATATATACAAAAAATATTTTAGCCAAATAAGTTTATTTGATTATACATAGAGTACTATTGAATTTAAAGAGAGTTAACATGAAAGTTCACGTGTTTCCTTCTAAGCTAAAAGTTTGTGTTACTACCAAATAGATAGCGGCTGTGAAGGGGAATTAAGTCATGGCAGATTTACCTAGCTGGTAAATCGTGTGGGGGGGGGGGCAGGGTCTCACTCTGTCACTCAGGCTGGAGAACAGTGACATGATCTCAGCTCATTGCAACCTCTGCCTCCCAGGTTCAAGCAATTCTCCTGCCTCAGCCTTCCGAGTAGCTGTATTACAGGCACGCACCACCATGCCTGGCTGAGGGGACTTAAGGTAGAAACAAGGTTTCTCTATGTTGGTCAGGCTGGTCTCGAGCTCCTGACCCCAAGTGATTCACCTGCCTAGGCCTCCCAAATTGCTGGGATTATAGGCATAAGCCACTATGCATGACAATCTTTTTAAAAGTTCAACTTTTAAATCCATCCTCTCAAACCACTCGTCAAAACCCCTCTTCTTGTCACCTTGAGAAAAAGCTAAAGAAAAAGCATTGCTTTTGCTACTCACTCAATACTATTTGAATGAATCAGAGCCACAGACTTGCAGGGAAGGCCATGCCTGTGGAGGCCTGTCTGCTCTGTCGCCCACCTTCTAGAAGCCTGCACCCTGCTGTCCACTGTCCCAGTCGAGGCGTGATGAGTTGGTGCTATCCCCCTCCACTTCTGCAGGCATCCCCTTTTATTCTGGCCAGAAAGTCCTTCTTTGCAGAGAGCAGAAATCTGACTCCCTGTAATGCCCCTGCAGAGTGCATAGAAAACAAACCTCTTTGAAATGGCACCTTCACCTGTCCAGTTGCCCAAAGTTCACTCTCACCCTTCCTTCTCTCACCTTCTCATCCAACAGGACATTGGCCTGAGGAATGCCGCACATAGGAGCCCATAAAGTCTATGCCTGTCTTGTCTGTCTCAGGGTCCCACTGCCGTTGTCCTGTTGAGATTTTGAACTCTTACTAGGACACCCCAGTAGTCTTGCCACTGGTCCCTTTGCCTCCTCCCGCTGTCTGCCAACCTTCATGTTTGCCTGAGCAGAACTTTGGCGTAAGGTACTACAAAGAGCATAGGTTTTGGAATTAGACAGGGACCTGTGCTCGCATTTGGGCTTCGCCACTTAATTGCATAACCTCAGCCAAGTTCATATTTTCATGCCTTATTTCTGGATCTATAAAATGAAGATAATATTGATTCAGGGCATTCTTATGGGATTAAATGAGAAAAAATATTTCCAAATACCTAATAAGATGTCATAAGTAGCTATCCAATAAATACTGTCTTTTTCCCTTACCCTATTCTCTACCTCTTTTAAACTTGTCAAGTGACATAGTTTCAAGCCATTTAATTGCACTGTTTGACATTATCTAAACATTTTTAGTTTGTTTGACTCCAAGAACTAACTATAATATAATATAATACAATATACTTGAGGCAGGGCTTGAGACCCACGGAGTAGAACATTCACTCATTCATTTATTCATCTATCCATGCATCCATCCATCCATCCATCCATCCATCCAACATTTCTGGAGCAATTGCAAAGGCCCAGGCACTATGATAGTTGCTGGAAACACAGAAGCAACAGACAAGGAGTTTCTAGCCTAGTTGGGGGCAATCTACTACAGCATCAGCAGGAGCAGGGATCAGTGAGCCTGGGGCCTCTTGGAGCCTAAGGGAAGAGCTCCTAGCCAGAAGCTGGGACAGTGCTGGGTGGGTGCCCGACTCTGGAGAGATGAGATGAGTTAGTCAGAGAGACTCATGGCTTTCAAGACAAGGAATGTCCAGATCCTTCAGGGCTTTATGTGACATGCTAGGGAATTTAGACTTGATTTTGACGTCAATGGGTAACCTCAGACAGAGGCAGAGATTTTTGTTTTAGAAATACCCTTTTGCTTGCATTTCAGATAATGCATTGGGAGGAGGCAAGACTGAGGCCAATTGGGAAGTGACATCAGTGGTTCTGCTTGACCAGGTGGGGCCTGATCCGAAGCAGTGACAGTGGGCACAGAGAGAGAGCCCAGTGGCAGAGAGGGCATCAGGCTGGAGTTGCCAGCCCTTAGGGACCACTTGAATGTGGGGCTTAAGGTAGAGCAGACTCAGAAAGACCTCCAGAAGGCAGAGGCCTACAAGTTTGGGAGGCCGGTGATGTCATTCGCCGTGATGGGGAGCTTGGGGAGCCAGAGGGGGCAGGGCCAAATTTTGGACTTGGGGTTGCTCCCGTTTCAGGGTTAATGGAGGGAGGGGCCTGGAGAGGCTTAAAACCACCAGGGAATGGCATCCCAGAGACCAAGGAAAGATGGAGAAGGAGGCAGGAGGATCACTTGAGCCCAGGAGTTTAAGACCAGCCTGCACAACAGAGAGAGACCCCCCTCTCTACAAAAGATAAAAATTTAGCCAGGTGTGACAGCGCATGCCTATAGTCCTAACTGAATGGGAGGCTGAGGCAGGAGGATCATTTGCGCCAGGGAGGCCAAGGCTGCAGTGAGCTGTGATTGCACCACTGTCCTCCAGCTTGGGTGACAGAATGAGACCTTGTCTTAGAAAAAAAAAAGAAAGAAAAAAGAGATGGAGAGAGATGGAGATGTACTGCAATCAAGCAAGACAAGGGCTGAAAAATGTCAGTTAAATGATCAAAGTAGAAGGTCACTTCCAGAGACATTGGCCAGAACTATTTCCCTGGAGAGTCTGAGCTAGGGGTTGTAAAGTGAAGGGGGATGAGCGAATGGCAAAGTTTACAGTCTTCTCTTGGAAGAAGCTTGTGTCTCTAGAGAAAGTGAGACGTGAGTGGCACCAGGGGAGCTGGCCCAGGCTTGAGCATATTTACATCCTTGGGAGGAACCAAGAGAGATGGAGGGTGAGCAGCAAGTAGGCTGCAGGCTGGCAGCAAGAAGGAGGGTAGAGAATGCTCTTGACACATAGTGAGAGTGCTAAAGGAGCAGGAATTTTTGCCGACAGACAGAGGAGTTTGGAATAGACCACAGAGCTTAAAGAGTGCCGAAGCTTCTTTTGCAGCCTGTGGGGCAAGTGTCACCAAGTGCCCTTAGAAGTGGTTGTAAGGGGACATGGGATCTTACAGGTCTCATAGAAGGCCCAGCTTGAAGTGAAAGGCCCAGATCAGAGGACGATTTGGGCAGAGGCTGGGCATGGCTGAGATGATGCTGGTGGCAGGGAGAGGGCTGCAATGTGACAGCGCAGCTCACAATAACTCTCACTGCCAGATGGGGCTCCTGGCTTTCCTTTGGTTTCACTTTCTGTCTTGCAGGAAGCAAGTTGGCTCCACACTCCAGCCTGTGGAGATAAGCCCAGGACTGTGATGCTGCCATCCAGGGTGCTGGCTGGCCGCAGGATAAAAGGCTCTCAAGGAACTTATCATCTTGTTTGTGCAAAATGAAAATACTTTGAAATAACTATCTTGGGGAAAGACAAAAATAAGAACAGAATGCAGAGGAGATTACACACAAGGAATGTAACCCCAAGGCACAGTCCCCGAGATTCCTGAGAGGGAGATGTGGCTGTCATAGACAGGAAGAGCTGGCTGGAGGAGATGGCTCAGGAGGCTGATGGGGCTGGACAGCAGCAAGGGGAGACGTGAGAAGGGCTCTCCTGGAGAACAGACTCAGGACCCTGTGCCAGCCTGGCCTTCCATTCATCTTTATGGCTTGGTCATGTGATCTGGATTGGTCTGTAGTTCCAGGGAAGGATGCTTCCCTCCCTCCCTCACTCCCTCCCTCCCTTCCTTCCTTTCTTTTCTTTCTCTCTCTCTGTCTCTTTCCCTCCCTCTCTTTCTTTCTTTCTTTCTTTATTTCTTTTGTTCTTTCTTTCTTTCTTTTTCTTTCTCTCTCTCTCTTTCTTTCTCTCTCTCTCTTTTCTTTCTTTTTCTCTTTCTCTCTCTCTCTTTCTTTCTGTTTCACAGTGCAGCCACTTGGGACTTGACACTTGAGGTGAGGTGGTGGAAGCATGGAAATGGTCTAAAACTGAGTAGGAACATTAAATAAATGGGTGGGGCTGGACACCTGTAATCCCAGCACTTTGGGAGGTTGTGGGGGGTGGATCACATGAGGTCAGGTGATCAAGATCATCTTGACCAATATGGTGAAACTCTGTCTCTCATAAAATACAAAAAAAAAAATTAACCAGGCGTGGTACTGTGCACCTGGAGTCCTGGCGACTTGGGAGACGGAGGCAGGGGAATTGCTTGAACCTGGGAGGCGGAGGTTGCAGTGAGCAGAGATTATGCCTATGCACTCCAGCCTGGTGACAAAGTGAGACTCTGTCTTAAAAAAGAAAAAAAAGAACGGGTAGAAGGAACCACCCTACTCTCAGAAGAAGTGGTCAACCAGTGGAGATGCTGACCCCTTGTCCTAAAACCAATCTAGAGATACAGGAGGCACCAGAGGGAGGTTGGTGGGAGACCGAGGAATTTTAGGAGAGGCAAAAGGAAATTAGATCTGTTGGGGAGGAAGAGGGAAATGACACAAAGTGGGTAGGCCAGATGCCACTAATTGGGCATAGGCTGAGAGAAAGAGGGCTTTCTAGGTAAGTCATATTATCTCCTGCTGTTGCCCTGGATGGAGCATTGCCCATTGCTTTGCACAAGGCAGAAAACTGCAGACCCCACCCAGTAGCAGCAGAGGACGGAGGTTAGTCTAAGGACTGAGATGAAGCCAGGCTGGGCTGGAGTGAAGGTGAAAGGGACAGGTGATTGTTAAATCCTCCTTGGTTATTGCCCCCTCCCCTCCCAAACCTAGAGGGCAGTGGTGCTGGGCAGTCCCAGCAAAGGGAAGAAGCAACCCACAAAAGAACATGAATCAAACTGACATCAATCTTATCAATAGGAAAACTGGTTTCAAGAAGAAAACAAGGCTGGGTGTGGTGGCTCATGCCTGTGATCCCAGCACTTTGGGAGGCCAAGGCAGAAGGATCACTTGAACCCAGGAGTCTGAGACCAGCCCTATCTTATACCAGCCGTTTCAGAAAACAGAAAAAGGGAAAAATCTGTCTGACTTATTTTTATAACGCTAGTATATCCTTGATTCCCAAATCAGATAAGGACAGTAAAATAAAAGGAAATTATAATCTTATTTCTTTTGGATTTCCTAATTAAATATTAACTCACTAAATCCAAGAGTGTATTTAGAAAATGTATAATGGACAAGTAAATTTACCCCAGAAATGCAAGGATCACTCAAAATTGTAAAATCTATCAAAGTAAATTGCCATAAAATAGAAATAAGTGCTTTTGTAAAATTTGGTAAAGTTTATATACCAAGATTTTACTATGAATATAAATATTAACAGACAAACTATTAGAACTGAAACAACTGTGAAGGCCACTCAACAGGGTTTCACCCCAAACCCAGCCTGTCCCAGGCACCTGGTGCAGAACACGCCTGGAGAGAGCGGGAGGACAGAGACGATAAAGAACTCCCATTTCCTCCACCCTGCCAGGGGTCCCTCTTTCCAGAGGAAACAACCTCCCTGTCCTGTGTTTGCTGTTCTCTCTACCTGGAAAGCCTTTGTGCACTGCACTGGGCCTTACCCCTTTGTCTCCCCCGTGTCCAGGAAGGGCCCAAGTGCAGAGGGGGTATTCAGTATTCCACATGCCAATGAATGAATCAAGGAGAGAATGAATGACTGGAGACAAAGCCTGCATTGGCTGTCCCTGAAGAGTCACATATGATGGTTTGCTGGCACAGCAGATGCTTCCATTAAGAAAGTTTAAAACTCCTATGGATGTATTATAAAAGAACCATGCCACATAATTGAAAATATTTAACAAATGCTTAACTTTGGGTGACCGTGCACCCTTCCTTAAAATTTACCCTTGGACTACAAAGACGGCCTCAAAATTGTTTGAAAAATAAAATTTTTTAATGGAGGTCATTTCCTATAATCACATTTCAGTCAATTAGAAACAGGTGACAAAAATTGAAGTAAAAATAGCAACTATGGAAATCAGAAAACTCTCCTCCATAAACTTTGGCTCAGAGAATCATCAAAACCTAAACTGAAAGATTATTTAGAAAATACTAAAAATGAAAATTCAACAGGTCAGAATCTTAGCATGAATGTTATTCGAAGCAGAAAATTCATAGCATTTAACTAAAAATGAAAAAAGGAAGCCAAGGAAAGCAGAACAATGTAAATAATATTAGAACTAGGACAACCTAGAGGCTTGTTAAAATAAAGTGATAATTATATGGTGGCTATTATTTTTCTTTTGAACAGAAAAGGCAGAAATACAAAGTTGAAGATGAGGAATAATAAAAAACTGGACACATAGAGGAAAATGATCTTTCATGCCTGCCTTCCAGGGGCAGCTGTGGCCTGGGCTCCTGCTTACCTCTCTCCCTTGGCCTGACTTGTCATCCCCAGGTGACAGGCCCTCCTGGGGCAGCCACCTGGTCTCCTGGAATAAGAAATAGAAATGTCCCATCTAGGCTGCAAGGTGAACAGATGCCAGGGCTGGGCCTGGAGGGGGTGTGAAGCTGGGGAGCTTGGCTGGGGCCATGTCTTGGCTGCATTTCCTGAATTGGGAGATTAGAGGCCATGCTATGGCTTTATTTGTACTTTTCTGTGCATATATCTACCAAGAAAGATAATTTTTCTTAAAGCAAAATGACAGATTCTGGATCTGTCTGGACCTCTAGAGCTCATAAAGGCCTCTACAGGTTGATTGTAAAGATGGAAGGATGTGCAGATCTTCCTTCCGGAACATACACTTGTGTGTTTGTGGGAGGCATGAATGAATGAGTGACCCGAGGTCAGAGTCATTGTTTACTGACCTTGAGGATGGCATCTAACACTGTGGACACTGCCTCTGGTTTTCCCAGAGGAGCTTAAAACCCCAGTGAAAAAGCCACGGTTCCTGGGAAGTGTTATGGACCTGATGGCATCACATTTTATAAGCTATTAATACCCAAATTCACCATGTCCATAAACAGGTTCTTAATGACTAAGCCCCCCATCTACCACTAAACCACCTTTGCCTCTCCATCTAAATGGCCCTGATAGGGCTCCAGCGACTGGAGGAATATCAGGGTCCTTGGTCTCATGCTGATTTAGATGAAATGACATGGACACATGTGGAGTGTTTAAAGGAGTGGATAATTTGATAGGCAAGAAAGAAGAAAGAAGAAAACAGTTCCCCTGTACAGAGAAGAGGGAGGGCAGAAAAGCGGTCGGTTATATGGGAGGCTGGAGGAGGCGGTGCCTGATATGCATAGGGCCCAGGCGATTGGTTTGACCAGGTGTGTCATTCATGTAGCCTGCAGAAAAACCTGGCCCTCCCACCTTAGCCATTTAACATGCAAATGTGGGCCGCCATGATGCCGTGAGCACATGGGGTTACCTGGAGGCAGCCATGACACTTGGCATACCTGGTGACTAGAAGAAGAAGGCGGGAATCACCATATCGGGTAGACCCAGTTTTTAATGGCTGGCATTTGCGTATCAAAACTTGCCAGCCTAGCCCTTTAATCTGCCTTTCTGTTAGAAAAGAAATGGGTTGGTTGGGTGCAGTGGCTCATGCCTGAAATCCCAGCATTTTGGGAGGTTGATGCAGGCAGATCACTTGAGGTCAGGAGTTTGAAATTAGCCTGGCTAACGTGGTGAAACCCCATCTCTACTAAAAATACAAAAAATATTAGCCAGGATTGGTGGCAGGTGCCTGTAATTCTAGCTACTCGGGAGGCTGAGGCAGGAGAATCATTTGAACCAGGGAGGCAGAGGTTTCAGTGATCCAAGATTGCACCATTGCACTGTAGCCTGGGTGAAAGAGTGAGGCTCCATCTCACCCCCCAAAAAAATGGTTTGGGGGTTGCTTTTATTAAAAGAAAAAGCCTTACTGAGAATTTCTCTCATCCTCTCTGCCTAAAAATTATTTCTTAATAACTCCTGTATTATTGCCCCTCTCAAGAGAAGCAAACCTAACTGCTTTCAGCGGGGGTTGGATGACGATTCTTTCTGGCTACTTTCTGCTGACAATGAGTATCGTGTGGGGAACAAGCAGCTGGGCCTTCTCCTGAGGCTGATCTAAGGGTTCTTCGAAGATGGTATGTCCACGTGTGGCTTTGCTTGGAGCACCATTTGGAGTTTGATTGCTTCTAGGTGACAAGAGATAAATTTTACAAGAAGGTTTAAAATACAGGGTTAGAATATGACTATTAAAATTACCACCGTTAGTGGGGGTCCTGCAGACCCTGAGTTTGATACCTGCGTACACTAATGGATTGCAATACTGGCTTGCCTCCACTAGATGTCGCTGCACATTACAGAAGTGTTAATATAAAAGTAACATTTTCCTTGAGAAAAGCATACTTTTTCCCTTTGACTTGCCATTAGAGAATAACTTTAGGCTTAGGCCATTTTCATAACTTGCAATATGCTTGGGAGAAATACATTACTGGGTGGCTAAAATAACTTTAGTGTTAATCTTGACAATTTTTTTCCTTTATTATTTCATAACTTTCACAGACCCCCTAACGAGATACTTAAACATTCTGACTCGTCCTAAACCTTCATTCTTTAAACAACCAGTCATTTCCTTTTAGAACAAGTATTTATCATACAAAATCCTTTCTCGCATAAAATCTCTTTCTTTATAACCTTTGATTTATAGCTTAGAGTGCATTATATTACTAACCTTCAGTAAAAACTTCTATTAAACTTATTGATAGTAAAACTTTCATGCTTGCTTCTTATCTGTAACTATTACTCCTGCTATCAGCAACACAATTTTGACTAAATCTTTCCTGCAATTGTTAATGCTGTTATAAGGTTGATAATTAGGCAAACTATTACAGCAGTTAGAATTTTACAACCAGAATTCCACATTGTGGGCGCCATAGTGTGTAGTTCTATTGCAAATAGTAGTGTGACTAGACCAATTCTTACAAAAGTGGCATAGTAAATCATTTCCATGTAAAACTTTAATTGCCAAGGTGTACATTTCTCTTTGGGGATCTACAAAGTTACAAATGCGGTTCTATAAATAATTAAAATCTCCCTGCAAATATGCTTCAAAAAGAAGTTTTAATATTTGGTGGTGAACTTTGAGAGGAAAGGCAGAAATAATAGAGTATCTGATGAGGTAGGAGTGGGGCTGAGTCAGATGAGTAGGCCTCACTCAGTTACTTATCTTTGATGATTTTCAGCTGAAGATCTATTTCTCCACATTGAGATTCAGGACATGCCTTTGGGCTGCTAGCGGTTGTTCCCTCAGCTCTTCAGGCTTTGACTTGAGTGTGATGTATTTAGAAGTCGATTCCTGTAACTTTTATGGTTGAGGGGGTTGAAAGAAGAACAGTGGAGGGCCCCTCGCAGCTTGGCTTAGGGAAGGAGACAGAGATGAGAGTTAGTACTAATTCCAAATTTCCTGGATTAAATAAAGGTGGTCTATTTTATTTCTGCAGGAGAATACTGAGGTTCTATTTCTTTTTCAGAGTCTTCCTGGATTAGAAGGGCTTGAAGTGCGTTAATGCCTTGAAGCTCCCTTGCCTCTGACTTAGCTGCCTGATTAGCTATTCTGTTTCCTTTGGCTGCCTTATCTGTTTCCTTTTGATGTCCCCTATAATGCATTACAGCTGTTTTTCATGGAAGACAAACTGAGGATAATGACCTGCTAATTTCCTGGCCATATTTTACAGGAGATTCATTAGTGGTAAGTAAATGCTTTTCCTTTTGAATGGCACCATGAGTATGGAGAGCTAAGAAAGCATACTTGGAGTTAGCATAAATGTTACCCACCTTTCCCTTGCTTAATTTAAGTGCTCTTGTAAGAGCTGTTAGCTCAGCTAATTCAGCACTTGCGCCTGGGGAGAGACATTATTTAGAGTGACTACTGCATATCCTGCCTCGTGTACTTCTTGCTTTACCAGCTGTTAGCTAAGCGCTTCCCCTACAGGACAGTCATCCTGACACATTACGTGGAGTATAAACTGTTAAATTTTTTCCTAGGGTTAACTTGGAGGCTTTTCTGACTAGTAGAGCTATTAAGACAATGGCTTGGAAGCACGTGTAAATACGTCCTCCTAACTACAACTAAGGTTGAGAAGAATATCACATTGGAGTTTTTCCTGAGACATCCCTTACGGTCATGCTATGGGAAGAGGAGAGGCCTGGATTAGAGAGGAGAAGAGAGACTGGCTCTAATGTTTAGAAGGAGGTCTACTTTCCTTCCTTTAATTTTCAGAATCACCGGGGGCTCCTGTGCTGTAATGGCAGTTTGAGCTGCTGAAGCCGGGGTTTGAGCCCCAGGACCCATCAGTCCTGCAGGATCATCTGTGAGACTGCTCCTGAACCAAGTGACCTCCATCTCTGGGGGCAGTTCCATCTTCAGTGGCCTCTGCCACAGGCTGGACAGCGCTGAGGTGGCTTTGTCTTGGTTCCTGGGCATTCCTTTTTAAAATACCCTAGCCTGCCACACTGATAGTAACTAGCAGATGCACCTGGGGGATTCTGGATTTTGCAAACCTGCAAAGCTGCCACTAGGGCCTCTGTCCTTCTCTTGATCTTTCTTTCTTTTGGGCCTCCTCCTGGTCCCTATTATAAAAGACCAAAGTGGCCACCTTCAGGAGGCTCTCTAAGGTGCTATCTGGTCTGATAACTTGCTTTAGTAGCTTCCTTTTAATATCCGGAGCTGCCTGTGTAATACACTTGTCCTTCAGAATGAGCTGTCCCTTGACTGAATCAGGGAATCAAGAGGTGTACTTTATTAGTGCCTCTCTCAGCCTTTCCATAAAGGCTACAGGATTCTCACCTGGCTTTTGGTTTATCCCAAACAGTTTAGAGTAATTGAGGGGTTTGGCCCTGGTCTTCCATAGGCCCTTTGACATACACCTTAAAACGTGCTTCCTTTTCCATTCATCTCTGGATTATTGGGGTCCCAATCAGGGCTGTTTACCAGAACTGCTTCCCTTCCTAGTGGGGACGGAGTTTCCACTGCTTCTTCACTCTCCCTATCTGCTTTCTTCCCTCTTGGTATATTATAGGAGCTATGTTGCTCATCTCTGAAATTTGCTGCTTGCAGAGCTGCCTGCTTTTCAGCTGCCGTTAGGGTTTGGTATAGGAGCAGCATAACATCCTTCCTGTGAGGTGAAGCATCTGAGGTCAATTCTGGCAAGCTTCTACCTTCCTATCAGGGTTCTTGGAAAATCGGCCTAAGTCTCCCTTTATTTGCTTAATGTGCTGTAATGATAAGGGAGCCTGAAGGGGCCCAAAATAAGGGGGATCCTCAGATGGTTCCCCTGGAAGTTGCTATTCTGATTTTGGGGAACTGTTTTCCGTGGGCCTGCCCGATATGATTGCTAAAAGACTTGGGTTGGTCTTACAGCGCTTGCAGAGGTTTAGTAAAAACGCCATTCCCTTGTGTAAAGGAAAATGAGTCGCTTTTTTCTTCAAAGTCCTGAGGTTAAGGAGGTTCCAGGGTTTCAGAGTGCACCCCACAGGGGTGCAAGCGGAAGGTGATCTGTTGTTACCCATCTAGAAAAAGACGCAAGAATAAAAGTGTCCTCTTAGTCTCCTTCCTTTCCGGATGACCCAGGGTGGAGGAGGAGACAGGGAGCATCCTCCGATTGCTTTCTCTCCCTGGTTCCTGGGTCCTGGCACCACGTTAAATGTGCCACCCATGGCTGTAGGTATGGTCCTCCAAGCCATGGAACCGGATGAACTAAGTGATGGGGCTAACCAGCTTTACCATGCAGCCTTAGCTTATCCGCCTGTGTGATTCCCCTTTCACTTCCTAAATTTGTGTGATCCACCAGGTTCCCGAAAAATGGATCTCGGGAGAGACTGTGTCGCCTTAGGGCAAGGCTCCTTTAACGGAGGCAGTGTGCCAGATTGCCTGCTGCTACGGCCCGTGCTAAAGCATCTACCCTTAGAAAAATGGTTCCGATTAACTTCCAGACTTAAAATCCCCTTACTAATTAAGTACCATCTTAATCGGAGACAGAACAGGTGCCTTGGAAGAATGTAGTAACCAAATGGTTGTTTTTCTGCTGATGGGACAATATCGAGACTAAAATTTAGCTATGGAAGTCATCTTGCTCCTAACTGTGAAAGGCAGAACTTTCCCATTCATAGAAGTAGCTTAGAGCCTAGTTTCCAGTAGAAAAGGCGCAAAAAGGAAAAGCTGGAAAGCTGTAATGTACCGCAGAGAACCGGTAATGTGTCTTATGGAGAGGATTCCTATTTCCACCGGGTGGCGCTGTTGGCTTAGGAATACCATGTGCTTGCCAGAGACTTAGTAGCAAGTAACCTGAGCTGTGTGTGGGGCAGGGCGGGTGGTGTGGTTTGGGGTGGTGGCCTGGTGGGAGGGTGGCATGGGGGGTTGGCATGGAGGGGTAAGAATCTCTGTTCCTAGAAGATTGCAAGGGCATTTTCCTGAGCTATATCCCCGGTACTACAGCATTACCTGATTTTGCCTAACAGGATTACTTGCCTAGGCTGTAAGAATTCCTGCACATTCTACACACACAGAGAGCAAGAGACCATGGATAGAAAGAGAAAGAAAGTTTGGCGACAGGATAGCAGGAAGAGAGCCTTGAGACCGAAGGACAGATTTGAGGTTGAGATTCATGCCATTCCATACTCACCAATCTGTTGAATGAATTTCTGGCCAATGCACCAAAATGACACAGCCGTGATGACTGGAGGAACACCAGGGTCCTTGGTCTCACGCTGATTTAGATGAAACGACATGGACACAAGTCTGGAGTGGTTTAAGGAGCACGGAGAACGTAATAGGCAAGAAGAAAACAGCTCCCTGTACAGAGGTAGAGGGAGGGGGGATCCAAGCGCAGAGAAACTCCGTGTGCGGTGGAAAAGTGGTCGGTTATTCGAAAGGCTGGAGGAGGCAGTGTCTGATTTGTGAAGGGCCCAGGGGATTGGTTTGACCAGGTGTGCTGTTCACGTAGCCGGCGGGAAAACCTGTCCCTCCTACCTTAACCCTTTAATATGTAAGTGCAGATTGCCATGACGTCCTGAACATATGGAGTTATCTGGACGCGGCCATGACACTTGGCACACCTGGTGACAAGAAGAAGGTGGGAATCACTATTGGGTGGACTGTTTCTAATGGGTACATTTGCATATCAAAGCTTGCTGGCCTGGCCCTTTAAGTCTCCTTTCTGTTAGAAAAATGGTTTGGAGGCTGCTTTCATTAAAAGAAAAACCATACTGAGAACTCCTTTTATCCTCTCTGTCTGCCTAAAAATTATTTCTGAATAACTCCTGTATTAGCCCCACCATCCATCCAGAGTCACTCAGGCCAAACCCTAGAGGTCCATCCTCGATTCCCTTCTCCTGTCTAACTCACATCCAACCCACCGTAAAGTCTTGTCAAGACAACCTCTAAAGCATTTCCCAAATGGATGCAGCTCCCTCCCTCTTGACTACAGCCAGCCTGGTGAAAGCCACCACCAACTCCTGCCTGGAGTTCTACAGCAGCCTCTTCCTTGGCCTTCAGGTTTGTGCTCTCTTCCCCTTCAGGTGTTCGCCATAGACCATCTGGAGTTATCTTTTCAATGTAAGTTGATCACATCACCTCCTGGTTAAAACCTTCCAAGGGCTGTCCATCAGATTTGCGATGAAATCCAGGCCCCTCTCCCTAGAGGCGGCACTCGGGGCCTGGGTCCTGCGGACCTTGCCAGTGCCTGCCCTTGCCTCCCTCACCCTCCCAGCAGCAGGCTTCAGCCATGGTTGCCTTTGTGTCTGTCTCCCAACTTTGTTCCTGCCTTAGAGACTTGCCTAAGCTTCCTCTTCTGTCGTGCATGCTCCTTAAAGACAATTTCTTTTAATTGTATAGGTTTAGCCTAAATATCATCTCTTTAGGCCCAATCTAGAGGTCCTCCCATCATTCACCTATCACAACTCCCTGTTTTATTTCAATATATTATGTACAAGGTGATCTAAAAGTCTTCACGCATTTCTGTATTTGTATAGAAATGGCCGGTGATCAGAGGTTCTATTTCCTCTTAGGAACCCAGATAAGGATTTGGGTTCATTTCCTTTCTTACCAGATGTGCCATAGAGCTTTTTCCCCGTCACTGCAGATCAAGTGAAGTCCTCTTCCCAGATGCTTTGGAAACATTCCTAGACTGTGTGTGACACCGTCCTGGCCATCACGCCTCCAGACCAGGCACTGTCTCTATCTGACTCTGCCATCTTGCTTTTTGTACTATTTTGGCCTGTAGACCTCTAACGGGATGGGCACCAGGCAGAAGGACACTGGCTTAGGTAATATCCTTGGGACCACTGTCCTTAGTAGCCCTAGAACGGCTTTGCTAGGGTAAACCCCTAGGAGTGGCAAGTAGTTGTCCTCCAAAGTCACCCACTTTTAGTCTTTTTGCAAAACCTGCTTTTCTAGTCATATTCTGGATTTCCTCTAGACATGTTTTGTGATCAGTAAGTGTTGAGTGAAAGTCAGAGGGTAACATGTAGAGGTCACATCTGTATTAGAGGGAAAGGGAAAGGCATCAAGGATATGCCAGTTAACATGATTTCTATTTAAGGAGCTAGAATGGCACATTTAGGAGAAACAGCACAGGCTTCTAAACATGGTGGGACAAGAGAGTCAAACAAAAGAAGACCCAGGCTGTTTAATGGTGGGTTTGTCTTTGTCCAATATCAAGATTGAGAGCTTCTGACCAAGCCGAGGTTAGAGCTGCCTGGCACGTTCTCCCCGGGTGACCTGGCAGCAGACACCCCCTGAGCCATGGCTTTGCAAGGAAAAGACAGTGGGTAATCAAAGCCCGTGGTCCTCTGGGAGCTCAGCCACCTTGTGGTTCCCTCTGGTTCCTTTTGGGGAAGGTTGGAGGAAATGGGGAAGGGAGGGCTTCGTGCCATAGAAAGGAATGACTGGTAGGAAGGGGAGATTTTGAGTGAAGCATAAGAAGCTATTTGGAGCCGTGGGTTGAGAGAGCCACTAAGTATGGGGACCTCCTGCTTGTAATCAGACCAAGAGGGTATGTAATAGATCAGAGTTACATCCACATTGCCTCACGTGTTCTCCTCCTCATTGCTGCTTAAACACAATGGGCATAGAGAGAGGGAAGTGTTCATCCCCCTTGTGCCTCACGACAAGGAGTCCAGGGTGGAATGATCCTGGCAGCCTGTGGCTTAGTCACAGCCTCCCATGGCAGGACGGGGCCTGCCCAGAGTGTAGAATAGTAGTAGGTTGATACCATGCCTTTTTATTAGTCACCAAACACAGGTAAATCACTTTAAGTTGCTTATAAAATACCGTATCAGCTACTGCTGGTTAAATGAGTTACTATTTGTCAAGAGCTTAGAGCAACACCTGGCACTGTTACCTATTACTTGAACAGCAATTGTTACCACCATTGCAGCTGTGGTGTTTCAGTGACTGCCTTCTAGCAGCCTGCGCAGATAATCAGCTCTCAGTGTTACTCCAGGGGGATCAGGGCAATGCTCATCAGCTCGATTTGCCTGGTGGGGTTGAAAGACATGAAAGGGAAAAGGTTGAGGGAACAGCTCCACATGCAATTATTTGTTCTGACCAAATATCCGGCATTGGTGCCCTCTGAAAATGAAATATTCTCCAATGGCCTCACGTACACATGCATGTGTTGTATAATGTGTGTGAAGTGTAACTCTGTTGCTGAAATAGGAGCCTACTTATTTACAATGGTGGAATAAACATGAGGGTGGTATTTATTGGGTCGGCTGTGAGGTCATCAGACCACTTAGACCCATCTATGAGCCACCTACTACCTGGCCCTATTGATGGTGGGGGGGGTCCCATATGATTCCACTTGGATTCAGAGACTAGGTTGATAAGCCTTCACAGTCAGGCCTCCTCCTGAAACAGAATGCTTGTTTTCTAGTCACAACCCTGCTAACCGAAACAGTATCCAGTCCAAACAGGATAAAGTTAAAAAAAAAAAAACAACAAAACCAGCAGATGGTGACAAAACGCTTGCTAGCTGACCTCATTGCTCATTTGCATTAGACCCTCCCACCCAGTGCCATGAGTTTACAAATGCCATGGCAACAACTTGGAAATGACCACTCCTTTCCATGGCAACAACCTAAAAGTTACTGCCCTTTTCCTAGAAAGGTCTCAATAAACTGCCCCCTCAATTTGCATTGACCCGCCCCTTGATTTGCATATGATTAAAAGTGGGCTTTTTGAGAGTGTAAATATAGTTGCCAAAGTCCTTACACACTGCCAATTCTAGGTGCACTGCTTACTAGTTCAGCCCTGCTCTGCAAGGAGCAGTACCGGTCAATAAAAGATTGCTAACACAACCAGGTCACCCTTAACTCTTTCCTAGGCAAAGCCAGAAGCTGTCCAGGGCCAAGCCCCAGTTTTGGAGCTCACCTGTCCCGCATCACCACCATCAGCCTGAACATGAGGAAAGGAACGCCAAGGCCCTACTGGGGACATATGGCTCCCTC